GAGCAGCTGCCCTCTCCACGAGGAGGAAATGCTCTTCAAGGGCCCTGGTCTTCTCTTGAAAGATCCCAGTGGCGGGTACACACCACTCCACTTCAATGCTTGAACACTGAGGAGACGCCGCTCTTTGAGGGGCCTCGGAGGCAGAGAGCATCATGCTCGGAGCTGCTGACTGCAAGGTCTGTAGGCTAAGCCTGCCAGCTTCACCTCAGGCAGAGAGAGGGGGCTTTCTGCTCCGTCAAGGTTTACAGCCTCGGTACCAATTTATAAACTATCAAGGGCTCATGAGGGAGGGGGCAGCGGGGAGGGAGGGGAAAAAATGAGGACCTAATGTCGGGGGTTTAAGTGGAGAGAAAATGTTTTGAGAATGATGTACAAATGCGTTTCACACAATTGATGTGTGTATGGATTGCAATAACAGTTGTATGAGCCCCTAATAAAATGTTAAAAAGAAAAAAAAAAAGATTTACAGCCTCGGACACCCAAGGGGCAGTTCTACTTTGCCACAGAGTAAGGAGCTGGAAGGAACTCGATAGCAGTGATTTCTGTGAGCTACCTCCCAATTATTATTATTTGGGCATATCAAGGATCTACAAATAACTCCCTGGGTGTCACTGAGATCAACTTCAAGGGGATCTCTCTCCCTTGTTTGCCACTGAGTGTTGCTACTACCTGATTTGCCCAAATAAAGGCCAGTATCTCTAAATATAAGACATTAAATGGATACTCTGAAAAAGGCTGAGGCTGTAAAATTAAAAGATCCATGTCAAAATGGAATCTTGATCCTAACATCTGCTGTGAACGCAAGTTAACATCATATAGCACTAGTCTATTAAAATAGGTATAAGCTACACAAATATATCACGTAAAAATGCTGTCAGGAGGCAGATTAACACCATGCAAAATAAAACCATCAGGCCAGGCTGCTGGTCATGGACCTGTGCTGAGTGGACTCTAACCTGCTGAGCGACAGTGGGAAGGCAGGGCAGGGCAGGGCAGGGCAAGAAAGCAGGCCTGGCCCCAGGAACCACAGCTGAGCCACTGCCTACGACTTTTGTGTGTGTGTCTTTTCAGTTTAGTCAGGTATTCACGGGGAATCAGATTGAACGGACTTGTAACCTTTAAACAAGTTGGGGTTTAGTTATAAAAGATACATCGAGGTTGAGAACCAAGTTGAATCTCTCTCCTGACTGAGAGGTTGACTTACAAGCCAAATTTGCTCTGAGGATGAGATAGGAAACAATCTACAGCAAATTCTCAGGGACTTTTGTTCGAAAGACTCTGACCAGCACGTGCTAGAAATACCCTTTTGGTCACACTGACCGCCTCCCACTGGGACCCTTTCCCCGTCCTCTTACTCTTCCTAACTCCTTACTTTCCTGATTGCGGTTTTCTTTTTTTTTTTCAAATTACAGACACGTTTACACTTAATTATGTTCAGGCTTGGAGTCTTTACCAAAAAAAAAAACATATGCAATTTAAAGGTTGGGGTTTTTAAAAGCACTATAAAAGTCTACATAATGAATGACATTAATGAGTAAAGATTAATCAATTACAATGGCATCTACTAACAACTAATCACATGCAGAGAAAAGGGACCTAGCCAGTCGAAAAGTTGAGCATATGCCATAAGGCCTACAACAGACGCAGTTCATCTTTGCAGGCAGAAAAGGGGGTGCGGTATTTCAGTCAACAAAAGCATACGAGTCCCTGTTGCTGTGAATTGCCTTTACGCTGCACGTATGACATTCTAAGAGACTCACAAAATGAACTATCAGTGTGTTTTGAACCTGATCAATATTTCTATTAAAAGGATGAAAATAATTTAAGAAAAGAAAAAGCCAGAGGGAAAAATAGCTTTGTACTCAAAAGTTTTTACCATTTAAAAAAAACAAACTATTTTTCCCAAAATGGAATTTCCCACTTATCTGAGAGAACAGTAGGATCCTCCCCAAAAAGGGTAGCTGAATGTTTTATCACTGTACAGTGATTGCAGCAGGGTTTTTGAACATAAATTGTATTTTCTTAGTAAAGCTTAGTTAGCTATTCGCACAAGAATTTTCATGGTTTTATTTTTTATTATTATTATTAATCATTTTATTGAGGGGGACTCTTACAAATCTTATAGCAATCCATCATTCAACTGTATAAAGCTCACTTGTACATATGTGGTCATCAACATTTCCAAAACATTTTCTTTCTACTTGAGCCCTTGGTAATAGCTTTTTCCCTGTCTCCCACCCTCCCTCCCTCGTGAATCCTTGATCAATTACATATTATTATTATTATTTTATTTTGTATCTTAAATCGGCCTCACAACACAGCCTTTTTAGGCAAAATATGTGTTTATAACCATTTTGCTAGATAAGAATAACACTAAGAGAAGTGAATGAAAGATGACTAGATATTAGAATCAAGATTCTATTTTGGCCCTGGTCTTCTGATTTTAAAGATTACACCTTCTTCAGAATATCCATTCCTTATGCTTATATTTAGAAATGCTAACTTTTGTCAGAGAAAATCAAGTCGTAGCCTGCACAGTTAGTGAAAAACAAGGGAGAGATATCACCTTGAAGTTCACCTGAACTGCAGCCTGAGGGTGCCTTTTTTTGTGGAGACCTGGACAGGCACACATATTAGCAAGGGTTTCCTTATTTACCAAGAGTTTGGGTACCACTGTGTGTACTCATCATTGGGGTTCCCTATAAAGAGAAGACCAAGGCCATAAACATGCTCAGTACCTTTTGAATCAATAAACTGAATAAGGTCTTTATTTTCATACTGACAGAAAACCACAGAATTCACTTGCTATGCCTCTAAGTTATATAATAAATTATATAGCATGTAAATTAGTCTGTACACTGATCATCAGGGAATTCTTGACCACCCTGGTAGAAGTTCGGGTGCCCGACATGCCTCACTAGGTTAAGCAAACTGTTATGCGATTTATCCACTCCTAAAGAGAACAGTCAACTTAGCTATAACTCCAGTAAGGACAAATCGAATGGGATGCAATTCTCTGAAAGTGGCAGATATTTGAAGAGCACATTAAATTGCAAGTGAGTCGTTGGGAATTGAGGGGCTGATGGGACCTTTCCTAAACCTATGCATACGTCAGAAAACAAAGAACACCTGAAAAAAATAGAGTAAGAACTACAGAGCCACTTTCTCTTCTTCAGTGCATTTGCTCATTAATAATTCATTTAATATAGCTTGATGCAAGGAAAAAAGGGGAATTCTGAAGAAAATGTCATTGTTCCACTGAGATAATTCAAGAAATAAGCTTACATCTTTGAATCACAAAACACAAAACTGTCGACCAGGTTGGTGGCAGAATTAAGAAGGGATGGGGTGAGAGAAAAGGGAATGAGTCCCTAAAGTACCAAAATGTGAAGCCACCATCAACAGATTTGTACTATGAACGATACTCAGTTGAAGAGAGATTGTCATTGTTTCGACCCTTCACTCTGTGACAGTTCACGGCATGAAATGAGTCAACCTTACTTTCCCACTGTGATTTTCAACTACAGCAGATATTGATTCTACCTGTAATAAACAGCTAAATCATTTGATCCTTAAAACCTGCCATTTCCCATTCCAATGGGCACCAAAATAAAAGGTCCTGGATATAGTGGGGTTGGGGGAAGTATAATAGAAGTCAAAATCATATAAAAAAGCAGACTTACTGGTCTGATAAAATATCGGTGGAGATATGAGCTCTTGACAAACAGAATCCAGGACAGATAAACCCCTCAGGGCCAATAATGAGAGTAGCAATACCATGAGGGTAGGGGGAAGGTGAGGGAAGAAAGAGGAGAAAGGAGGAACTGATCGCAATGACTGACATACAACCCCACCGCCTACCCCAGGGGGATGAACAACAGAAATGTGGGTGAAGGGAGACAACAAACAGTGTAAAATATGAAAATAAAAATAATTCATAAGTTATCAAGGGTTCACAAGGATGGGAGGATGGGGCGGGGCGGGGGTGGGGGTGTGTGTGAAGAACTCATACCAAAGGCTCAAGTAGAAAGAAAATATTTTGGAAATGATGATGGCAACATATGTACAAATGTGCTTGAAACAAGTGACGTATGGATTGTTACAAGAGCGGTAAGAATCCCCAATAAAATGATTTTTAAAAGAGAGAACGAGAGATCGGTGGAGGCCTGAGACTATGGATCCTATGCACCCTTCAAAGCTGATACTGACCCTACCACAAGCAGGAGAATGAGAGCCAGGAGACACATACTCCAGTCCAGTCCACCACCCAGAGCAAAGGAGCAGCATGCACCCAAACACCGAGCTCGGGCGCAGGCGGGGGCAGGAGGAAGGAGCAGTGGAAACCAGAAAGTGGAAAGAGAGCTGCCAGTGCACGGAGGGGATTACAAACAGTATGCTATAAGATGTGTAGCAAGTGTTCAATGGAAAACTTTCGCTCAAACCAAAATTTAAAAGTTCAGAAATAAATAACCATGGCATTCCAAGACACTAAAAAATTAAGAAGCTGCATCTTTCTCTATATCTTCGCTCCCTACAACGAAGTAAACAAAAGCTAACTTCCTTCAGCTTTAAGCAAACAGCATATTATCGGTAATCACATTGCCAGATTTAGGAAGAATCATAACTCCTTTAGAATGTTGGCCTTATTTGTTTTCACATAGAAGTCTCTCCAAATGCTGCATCATAATCAGGAACTCTTTTTTCATCAGAGAAAAAAAAGAAGTAAATATGATCATTCGGAAACTGTACATTGGCTGAACAAAAGCAAACGGCGATTTCACAGGCTGATGACACCAGTATCCAGCGCTGCTCCGTTCTTCATCTGTCCTAGAGTGTCGAGATCATCTTTTAAGAAAGGAATAGGACATCTTTGGAATGATGAGACTAAGTCAAACCTGTGCCTTGCAGCAGGTTCTGAATACAATGAAATCAGGATGGCCGGCACTCACCCTTCAGAGAGCATCCTTCTCTAAAAGGAGTCATAACTCATAAAGACCTACCTGCTCATTTTGATTCCATTCCCCTTGTTGCTTCAGAGACGGAATGGCCCAGATGCTCAGTTTTCCTGAGAAATGAATGGCTGCAAGGAGAGTTCCATCTGGAGAGAGGCTCATCTTAAAGATCCCATCCTATACGATAATTATATTAGAATAAGGTCAGAACAAGGACTTGTAGCCTAATGGAAATAACTTCCAGAATTTGTAAAACTCTTTAAAGGAGCCATGTTATGCATGGTTTTTAGTAATTAAAGATGCCAACCCCTTCAAAGCAGGTTTATAAATATACCCCAGCATATGGAAACAGGGCTCCTGCCCTTAAGGAGTCTCATGTTTTATAGTGTTATGAAAGACATATAACCCAAAACCCAAATGCATTTCAACATTACAAAAATGCTTGTTCATGTTAAACATCAATTACCATAGGTCTTCAAATACATTTTATAGTTTGGTCTTAACTAAATGGTGAATTCTTTACAGTCTGAGCCCAGGTTCTTAAAAAAACTTTATTCACACAATGCCTGGAATATGTTACGCATCATGGAGAGTCTAAACACTCATGCTTTGGAAGAGAAAAATAGCATCAGGAACAAAAGGGAGCTGGGGGAAAGAGCACCAAAGAGTCGTGAGAACAGATGGAGAGCAAGCAAACTCAGGTGTCGCTTTGTTTCAGGTGCACATGAATGCTTAAGATTTGTTATGCTGAACCATTCAATGTTAGGCACTCATCTGTTGGCACAGAACAGAGAAACTGTGTAACACATTGCTCTTACATGGCCACCTGGGATGTAAAGAGGAAGATTTGGTGGTGGGGTCCTACCTGTCCTACCGGTCTCGCAGTCCTTTCCTATCAGAGTACCAGGTCTTCTCAGGTACGCATGAAGACACAGGTGGAGCATATGGATGTTTGGCTGCCTGCCAGCTACTACAGAATCAGAAGAACGGGGCAAACACTAACTGGACAACTATTTCCATTTGAGCCTTTATTGAAGACAAGGCCTAAGGAAAGTTGCCCACATTGAGTAAAACATGGACCATGAAACAGCAGCCCACAATCATATTTCTCCAGAACATTTGGAAAATCTAGCAATACTGGCCCAAAGGCAATCAAGTGGAAATAATTGGTAGATGACCCCTTAGAAAAGCCATAGCTTCCCAGTTGGCCAGAGCCCCTACTCTTTCCCTGGTATCACTGCAACATCAAGGCCAATATCAGCTGCAGACCTGAAAACTAACCACAATTACTACACATAGCTCGACTCATTAATTTATATTATCTGCCTGACTTTATAAACTTTTGAGTTCAAGTCCTCAGGTCTAAAACAACGAAAACATATTAATAATCAAGAACACAGAACAATTTCAGGAGGTGAAGAACATTATAGATGAGCAAGTAGATAAAAAGATGAGCATTATCAGCCACCTTTCTGAGAATTCCAATTACTTTAGCCAGCTATATAAATCTACCGCAGAATCTCAGACCTTTAGAGATTAAAATACAAATGCCTATGAGAGGGCTGCAATAAAGACACTTCAAACAGAGTTTGGAATTTGTAGCACCCCTTCCTCTGTGAGGGAGGTAAGAGGAAGAAAAATGAAATAAGTGACATCTTTCTTTGAAGACTTGAACATTAATAAGTGGGCCTCAAATGTGGAGATTTCTAAGAAGTGTCTATTAGCAAAAGTGTAGCTTAAAATTAATTTTCAGGACATCTCATCCTAATCATTAGATTTTATAGAGAAAGATACTGATGAGCAGAAAGAAGATGGGTCCAGATGAGGTGCCAGAATCTGAATTAGTACACACAAGTCTTCAACCTCGCTCTGGGGCACTGTGACGGCCCCACTGGAACTTACATGCAGGTTCCTGGATCGAAATTATGGTTAAGAAGATCTTACTGTTTTGATCCTGTGACTAATTAGTCATGTGTGGACCTTATGGTAACCCCAAGTAACACAAATACTCCACTCAGCAACTCCACTTATAACATTCTGACAATAATGGGACAATAATGGGAATTATGAATCTCTTTAAGAACCAGAAACAGCTCTGTAACCAGAAAAAAATCATGACATGAATATGCTGCCTTTTCATTTTTTTTCTTCTCGTCCACTCTTCCTTGCTTACTTTTTAGAAACTTTAAGAAATAAATGTATTAGCTAAAACATTACCCATTGCTTTTAATGTTAGTTATTATTATTTTTATTAGGTTTTTTATTTGTTAATTATTATTAGTTTAGGTTATTATTATTAGTTAGTTAATATTAGTTTCAGTTGATACCATGATATCCACACTACAAACTTACCATTCCTTTATTAAAAACATTTTTTTGAGGAGCTGATGCCAGGGGCTTAAGTGGAGAGCAAGTGTTTTGAGAATGACGAGGGGAACGAATGTACAAATGTGCTCGACACAACTGATGCATGTATGGATTGTGATAAGAGTTGTATGAGCCCCCGATAAAATGAGTTAAAAAATAGAAGAAAAATAAATAAATAAAATATTCCATGCCAAAAAACCCAAAACATTGTTTATATAATATTCACAAACACACAAAAGTGGAAAGTATAGCATAATAAAGACCCATGTGCCCAACCACCCTCTTCAACAAACATCTACAGCGCCAAGTTTGCTTCCTTTTTCCTTCCCCAACTGACACCCCAACCCCAGCATGCCCCCACCCCTGGAGAATTTTAAAACACATTCCAGACATTACACTTCATCAAGCTAGACATATAAGTATGCATTTCATTAAGGTCCCAAGCTATCTGCTTAACTTCCATATATGCTAGTAGTAATAATACAGAGTTAGTAGCAGCAAGAGAATCATAGCCGATCAGTGATGAACAAATCATTCTTGTTGCTTACATTGTGTGCCTTCTGAAATGGAAGCTCTAGTGTTTATTTACAGGAGAGTTTCTTAATGCCTATTGCTCACAAGGTATTAGGCCCAGGAAACAATTTAGCATCCTAGTAACAACTGTGGAATAAGATCTCACGTCACAGTAAATACTGTAGAAAATGTATGCTAAATTCTGTTAAGTCTGTGATCCTTAGAGGCCTGAGTGAGTATTAGTTGGCAAGGAAGGAGCTCTAGGCTGCACACCACCACGTAGCTTTTCTATAAAAGAGACATCACTCTAAATGTGAATTTTAAAAAACCTCCTCAATCCAGTTTGTGTGGCTCCTGAGGTTGTGCAAAATTGTGGTTAGAGGCATTTCACTCTTCCATCCAACATCCAAGGATGGCTAATTTCCATTTTCAACATCTAGTAGTGAGAAAGCAGCTTTTTTTTTTTAAATTATTTTATTGAGGGCTCGTACATTTCTTATCACAGTCCATACATACATCCACTGAGTCAAGCACCTATGTACATCCGTTGCCCTCATCAATCTCAAAACATTTGCTCTCCACTTTAGCCCTCAATATCGTTTGCTCATTTTCTCCCTCCCTCCCCGCCTCCCCTTCCCCTCCCCCTCCCTCCTGGACCCTTCATAATTCATAAATTATTATAGATTTGTCATAAGTTACCCTGTCCAACGTCTCCCTCCATCCTCTTCTCGAGAAAGCATCTTTTTAAAAAGTGTGTGTGTGTGTGTAGTTCAAACCGTTATTCTGGTACAGTGTGTTACAAAGAACTAAAATACAAGGAAATTACTTGCTTGTTTGTCCTCCCTCTGCTCAATCAGAGGATACCGACAAGAATGAGAAAGAGCTACATTCCACATGAGAGAATAGCCACTAAATGAGAGTCAAGGTAACAATCAATCTACAGTTCCCTGGAGGTACAAACAAATATAAAAATGTCCTTTCTTAGACAGACTGAACAGACTTGTGTTTGTCTTTCAACGAATCAAATCAACCAAAATATACACAATCAACTATATAGACAAGCCTGTTTGAAAAAAGACAAGACTATCAAGTCCCCAAGAACAAACAGTTCACAAAAAAATGACATCCAAATGGCTAACAAACATTTGAAAAATGCTCCCAATTATTGGGCATCCAGGAGATGAAAATCTAAGTGACAATGAGACACCACTTTATATGACAATGACAGTCAAGTAAGAAAATATATATTTTAAAAAAAGGCTGGAGAGTGCAGAGAGATGGCAAGTCTCAGATACTGCTGGTGGGTCTGTAAATAGGTACAACCACTGTGGAAAGCAATATGGCGCTACCTCAAGCAACTGGGAACAGAAATGCCACATGTCCCAGCAATGCCTCTGTGGGTATATAATAGCAAAAGAAGTAAAAGCCATAACATGAAAAGACATATGCACACCCATGCTCATCACAGCACTGTTCACAACAGCAAAACGTCATAAACAATCTGAATGCCCAACAGCAGGAGAATGTATAAAGAAACTGGTACATACACACAATGGAATACTATGCATCACTTAGAAAAAAAATAATACAACTACGAAACACCTTAAGACACGGATGGGCTTGGAGAACATTCATATGTATGAGAGCATTACTATAAGGGCAAAAACCAACACAAAGATTTGCATGCCGAAGAGAATGGACTTTAGAGGCCCCAGGGAAGGCAGGCCAGAGTGGGAAGATGAAACGACAGGCTAGAAGGTTGACAGGCACTGTCCTGGGTGAAAGGGAGGGCAGAGGTTCATAACAGGGAGAAGAGAGATCACGAGAGGAGGCTGGGACAGAATACAGCAGGGGAGTCTGAAGTTCAGAGTGGGATGAGTGGTTTGACCTGTGGGATACAGAGCTGATGTTCTGAAATGCAAAATCCCCCCACCTATTTCATAATAAAAAATTTTAATCATAAAAAAGAACATCAACTCCCCAATTATTTATTATGACAATTACACTGTAATACTCAAATAAGATCCTCCCAACAGACACCGCACGATTACACATGCTACTCTCCAGGCAGAAAGCCTGGTCTGCCTTTCTGCCTGAGGAGCTCTTCCTTCAAGAGGCAAGTCAGTCTCACTGATAAAATAAAGGCTCTCTCTTCTTCACCTCAGCAGAACTTGGTATTACATTATTAATTAGAATATAAAATATATAATATTAAACTGTCTTATAACTACTTCTGAGTCTGCCTACCCTGACTACATTGCAAGTTCCTTGAAGAAGTGCATGCGTACGCTCAAACTTTCCACCTTTCGACTGCTGCCACGTATGTGAACTGTTTCTCGCACCCAGCGTTTCATTATGAACACACTCAGAGAAAACACAGACTAGTCTAGTTCATTCCTTTCTGCCCTGAAAGGTATTCTGGAAATGTTTGAGAAGCACAAGGTTAAATCAATTTGTATTACCTGTTCTTGTCCTTGCCGGCTGTACAGCTTCACACTTAACATCCTTAATAATCCTCGTGTCTGTGGCACCTGCACAACACACACATTACACAAAGAGAGAGTGATCAAGGGCCTTCGCAGTATATAAAGGCATTGCATCACACAATACAAACTAAAAACATTAGTTTAAGAAATGGTTACTAAAACCTTCAATAACTGTCAGAGATCTTGGTGAGATTTTGTTATTAATATTTTTAATCCACTAAATAGTAAAATATTTAAAAATATACCCATAGTCAAGAGCATTTTAAATAGATAAATAAGTCTAGCATTATCTAGGCAAATTATAATCAACTGTACATTCTTCTCAAATAAGTTTGTCCCAGATTACCATTTCGACATTTTTACCATTAAAAAAATCAAAACTCTTAAAAAAAAAAATCAAAAATCCCACCAGAAATCTCAAAGGTTTTATCCTGCACTTGAAAAATACTAGGAAAAAAATAATTATTTAGATTCTAATATTTGAAATGACATTATTTACAAAAACATCATTTTCTTGCTGTTCTTATTATCTTTAGGCTTAAGAAATGCATTAAGCAAAGCATACAGGATAGGTATAATGTAAATTTTTCAGTTGAAAAAAGTAATACTACTTACAACAGTCAAAACATGTAAACAAACAAAGTCCATAAATGTGAAACAAGGCTTTTTTATCAGACACGTTTACTTTCAAATATCAAGACTGTAGAAAAACAAGTTTGAACTTACAAGAACTGAAAGATTTCTTCCTCCACAAGCCCTCCCAAAACATTTACTAGGGGAAAGGGTCACTCAACCAAGAGAACCCTGAGAAAGCACCAACAAAAAACTGACGGCAAACAATTAAAAATATAACAGGGGGTAACAAAAGACCACAGGAACTGGACCATCTCAGAAGTAAAGAACATCATCAAATAAGTGATCAAATAATCTAGACTGAGACAAAATATGAAGGAGTTTCAAAAAGTCCATGGAAAAGTAGAATTAAAAGATAAAGGGAATTTTTTGAAACCCTTTTTGAAATCAACCTCTTATTTCATAACATAAGGTTTAATATCCAGAATAAATATATATATATATTAAATTCCAACTAAACAACAAGAAGACAAGCAACCCAATTAAGTAGCCAATAGCTTGAATAGACATTGCATTGAAGAATATTTTAAATATTTTAGGTAGGCTAGCATAGGGCTGGGAAGGCCATCAGTGCATGCCCAGAGGGCCAAGCTACAGAAACAAAGGAGTGGCACACTGCACATGCTCAGAGGTTCAGGTTTCCCGCCAGGTAGACATGGGAGGGCACTGCACTTGGATTGGCCCACCTAGGCCAGGTGAATTCAATTCAGCCAATGGGGTCGACCAGGGGTCGTCCACCACGCCTCCCCGCGGAATCATTGAAAAGGCAGGAGCCCAGTGACTTTGCGGGACTCTGCGAGCAGCTTCGAGGCAGGCTGCACGTTCCGGAGGAGCCCTAGGGGTGCCCATGTAAACCTGAGCCGTCTGACGCTCATACAACTCACTAGGAGCACAAACCGGGCTTCGGCGTGAATTCTTTCTCGCGCGGAGCCAAGGACCGAGGTATATCTATCCCCAGAGAGATCTAACAACATCATTAGTCATTAAACCAATTGCCCTCAAACCAACCCAACTCACAGTGATCCCAAGTGTATCAAAGTAGAACTTGCTACATAGGGTTTGCAATGGCTGAGTTTTCTAAAACAGACCACCAGGTCTGCCGTCAGAGGTCCCTCCAGGGGACTCAAGCATGTTAGCATTTGCACCACCCAAGGGCTACCATTAGGACGGCTATGATGAAAAGAAGAAGAAAACGAGGAAGGAAGAAGTGCTGGCTAAGTTTCAGTGACGAACATCAATGAAATGACAGAGGATATCCTCATGCCAGTGTATTCAGACAATGAAAAGGAAATTGTCCGCTTCTTTTGAGCAACAATATAAAGAAAATAAACAAAATGAAATGGTAGCTGGACTGCCAAGTGGGGTCTAAAGAGCTCTTTTTAGGGGTGAAGGGAAAGACAAGCTGTGTGCTCGCAAATACTTCTAATAGGCAGCAAAATCTTGGCGAATAAAATATCTTTGAAGACACAAGAGCGGGGTGGGGGGTTGGTTGAGCAACAACAGTCCATCTGTATACACACAAAAACTTTGTTCTCTGTAGGCAGAGTTCCAAGCAAGTACTGAAATCTTAGAATCACTTCTATTTTCTCAGGCAAATAGGATCCTAGAAACTGGATTCCAGAAAGACTGTATTTCCAAAACAATATTGTGCATGGAAAAAAACCAATAACAGTAACACAAAATTGCCAGTTTTGTTCATTGTATAGGCTTTCTTCCAAACTTTTTACATTAAAAACAAACATGATGATAAAACACTGGTATATCATTTTACAGTTTATGATTTATATTATTTCATATGATCCAGGTAAAATAATCACCAAAGACAATAATAAAAGCATACTGTGTGCCTAACATGATACAACTAGCATGCACAGAATGGAAAAAGCATTAACTCTATTTTCATCTTATATTTTAGAAGTGAATCCCCGCCCCCCCTGAAAAAAAGGGAACAAAACAAAAACCCTAGTGTATTACACGAGTGCAAAGTGATGAGGCAGAAATTCAGCTGCCAGCCATCTGCCTCTAGAACCTCGGTCCGTGCCTTTCTTCAGTTACTGAACCCTAACTGGCATCTGTTACAGTTTACTGCCCTATCTGTGGCCAGAGTCCTCTTCCCCCAGAGTACAGAAAGTCCTGGAGGGCTGCTACCAGCATCTAAATATTCTCCATTCTTGGGGCAGTGATTAAATGTTGAACAAATGCATAAATAAAACTGCCTCACACAGATGACACTCACATTAATTTGGAGATTCTGGTTAACGCATTTATTGGATTTTGCAGTCTCTTTTACAGCCCAGCAAACTTGTGAGAGACTGGAATAAGTGTCGGCAGCATTTTTCAGTCAATATCGAAGCCAACACAACAGCAACCTTCAGCAAACAATCAGAGCTCGATGAGAACAGCTGCTGCCTGACAAAGGGAACTAATCCCATAGCCTCAAATGACTGAGGCAGGAGAAGGCAACACACAAGGGTTGCAAGCTGAGCTGCAGACACATTTAAAAACCACTAACATAATTTACACACTTGCAGCATTTCAAAGTTAATCATACTGCAGAGCATTCAATTTGCAATTCAATATTTCCCCCACTTATTGTGTCAGTGCACGTGTAATTTTCTTTTAAAAGACTCCAATACGGAAGCCTCAGGCCAAGAGGGAGGGACCATGAGGAGAGCAGATTCCAATACTTCGGTAAGTAGTGAGGGGAAGCACAAAGATCTCCAATAAGTCCCGGAGAAACACTGTTTGCAGCAGGGCTCCAAGACTCTCCCTTCCCCAAACTGTACTGAAAAGGACTTTCACAGTTTGCCTGTCTTACCTCTCTTCCATCTCCCTGAAACACGGGGCTTTCCAGTCCCCCATACAAACTACAATCTCAGAAACCCACAGGACCAGTCCCACCCGGAACTTAGGGGCCGCAGTGAGTTGACACCGACTCCATGGTAGTGAGTCGGTTTGGTTTCCATCTCCACACACACACATCCTCCCTGCACTCCAACCGTGAATTCTGGTCTGTGTACTTCCAGAAAAAGTGAAAAGAATTACCCAATTTAAACATCAGTCTCGTCTTCACCTGGGTTCACCAATTACTATATTTGCCCCATTTGCTTTATCTTTTGTTATATACCATTCTCCTGATATTCCATTTTTCCACGATCTTATATGTGGAAAGTATGTATATATATATATATATATAATCTTTATGTACTTATACACAAACTAGTTTAAAAATTACTTGTGAGTGCAAACCACTCAAAAGTAAGCTGCAAACATTACAGTGAGTTTCAGACAATTTCACAAGAGATAAAAGTCTTCATACTTCTCCAGATTTGCCCTGGTATATCTTACATATGAAATGACAAATTAAATCAGAGAGAGAATTATTTCGAACATGCACATGCAAATCCTGTCCTGTTGTCTTTTACAATAAGCAATATAACATGAATTTGATAATGCCACTGATAAGTATATTATTGCATAAACGGGTGGGGGTGGGGTTGGAGGGTCCACTGCCAGTGTTAATGCCAACTCATAGCGGCCCTACACAGGGTTTCCAAGAATGAAAATCTGTGTGGAAGCAACAGCGTCATCTCGCTCCAGAGAGGTGGCTGTTTTGCTTAACTTTGCAAAGAACTCACGGTGCCACTCAAGCTCCTTATATTATAGCCTAGTTAGGGAAAGTTACTAAGTAAGAATGAGACGTTCCATCCCCTGTCCTACACTTTTAGTAATCATGATCTCACAAAGTATAGGCTCTTGTCTGTGGGAGACACACCTAATGGTACTCACACTACACTCCTTCGCAGGTCCTGCAGAGGAAACAATGAACAGTGGGAATGAGGAGAGAGAGAATGAAGAAAGGCAAAGGAATAGGCAGAATCTTGATTCTGATGTATACAATGTGAACTGATGGATAAACTGTAGCGACCTCTGATGCTATGTAAACCCATGAAGCGATTTTGAGACAGGGAGGAACATCAAAAGCCCCTTGTTAAATTATCTTAAAAATATAAAGGAAAATTGCAAACAATCAGAAATGCTAAGGAACGCAGAGAAGTGCTAAAAACCACATCCTGGAAGAAACAGGAAGATTACATTAACTACCCAACTCAAGCTCCTCTAAAACCCGGGCGGCAACTACACGCAGCAGCAAGTCCACTGTGCTCCCGATAAAGCCACAGAAGAGAGCAGCTACTCATCACGGGCCACAGAGCGCACACATGACATCCCACAATAAATCCTAGCCACTGGTACCCTGGCAGCAAAATGCATCTTGAAAAACAATTGCATGCATGCCCTATTAACACAGCCCAGCTGATTCCAAGCAAACCCCAGCCTTCCTGGGAATTTTAATGAATAAGTATAACTTCCCTGAGTCACAGGGAAGTTAGGCTACAGGATAAGCACCCTGAACTGCCTTAGCTTATGGGACCTGAGGGTAAGTGTTGCACCAGCTGGCTCTATAATACAGCCTTGCCAGTGGGCGAACTCTGACTCTCCTGATCATTACTGGTAAGCAGAAGGCAAGAGCACTCCTCCGTATGGTAGAGCTGGACCAGCATCACCCCTGGCATCAAGTTCAATTAAAAAGATATATTATTTACTTTTGTATTTATCATTAGTGATATGGACTACATAAAACATTACAGTATATAACGTATTGATTATCACTCTCATATGTTCACTTGTAGATGTTTATTGTTATGATTTACTGCTCAAAACACTGCCATTTATAAAGAAAATAATTCTTTTCAAAAAGGTTTATATCAGCACCACCTTAGGATAGAATCAGAACAGAATCCTATTATAAGCTGAGAACTACCTATATTAAACTTTCATAACCAAAAACAAAAAAGGAAAATAAGAAATGCATTAATGCATTTTTCTCTTAAAACAAATTACTTCCTCCTCTACATTTTGCAAAGCATTAATTTAGCTAAACCTATTAGTAAAGTGAAATGCTTACCACAGTCACTTTGTCTCCACCATTAGTGACCTGCTTATAATAAGGTGATCCTGAGAGAACTCTCCAGGCAGAAAGGCCACAGCGAGAAGCTTTGGATTTGCCCACGTCAGCAGATTCACATCCACCAACCAGTAAAAGTCTTCAAAGTAAAAAATACAAGAATTGGTAAATTACAAATATGAATACCAAAACAAACACAGAGCAGAAACATTCAGCTTCATAAAACTAAACTAAAACTACGGCACTACACATACAAAGTAAACTTTCTAAGAGAACCACTGTTTTAGAAGAAATGAAACCGGATCAATGACTCGCATGATACACAAAAACAAATTCAAAATGGATTCAGATTTTCCATTTGTTTAAGAACAAGCAGTAGTATTACTGCCAGGCTTACCTTTCAACTATGCCAAGCTACCAAACACTAGGGGGCTTAAAAAAGTTCATGGTAAAAAAATAAAATAATTCATGGAATTAAAAGATAATGACATTTTTTTTCTTTGAGCTTTGAAAAGCCCTCTCATATGACATCATGAAATTCCCGACCCCACCCCAAACTTAAAGGCCTACCCCCTGAGTCATAGTTGAGTAGGGTGGGTCCTAACCTGACATCCTGTAAAAAGGAGAGACACGGAGAGGCAGATGTAGCATGAAGCATGAAGGCAGAGACAGAGCTTGAGGGTGACTAATCTACTAAACACAGTCTACCAGGACTCTGGAAAAGCTAGAGTCTAAGAGAGTCACGGGGCGCTCTCTCCCTCAAACCCTTCCAGATGGAGAGCAATCCATCAACCGCCATCAAGTCCTGGTTCAGAGCCTCCCAATATCGGATTTCCAAAATTAGAACTATTTTTTTTTAATAATTTTATTGAGGGCTCGTACAGCTCTTATCTCAATCCATACATACATCTATTGTGTCAAGCACATCTGTACATTTGCTGCCATCATCATTCTCAAAACATTTACTTTCTACTTGAGCCCTTGGTATAAGCTCATTTTCCCCCTCCCTCCCCACTCTGCCCTCCTTCATGAACTCTTGATAATTTATAAATTATTATTATTTTGTCATGTCTCATACTGTCCCACGTCTCCCTTCACCCACTTTTCTGTTGTCCATCCCCCAGTGAGGGGGTTATATGTAGATCCTTGAAATTGGTTCCCCCTTTCCACCCCACGTTCCCTCCACCCTCCAGGTATTGCAACTCTCACCACTGGTCCTGAGGGGTTTAGCTGTCCTGGATTCCCTGTGTTTCCAGTTCCTATCTGTACCAGTGTACATCCTCTGGTCTAGCCAGATTTGTAAGGTAGAATTGGGATCATGATAGTGGGGGGATGGAAGCATTTAGGAACTAGAGGAAAGTTGTATGTTTCATCATTGCTATATTGCACCCTAACTCGTCTCCTCCCCGCAACCCTTCCATAAGAGGGTGTCCAGTTGCCTACAGATGGGCATTGGGTCCCCACTCCACACTCCCCCTCATTCACAATGATTTGATTTTCTGTTCTTTGATGCCTGATACCCGATCCTATCGAAACCTTGTGATCACACAGGGTGATGTGCTTCTTCCATGTGGGCTTTGTTGCTTCTCAGCTAGATGGCCACTTGTTTACCTTCAAGTCTCTTTAAGACCCCACCCGCTATATCTTTTGATAGCCAGACACCATCAGCTTTCTTCACCACATTTGCTTATGCACCCACTTTGTCTGCAGCGATTTTGTAGGGTAGGTGAGCATCATGGAATGCCAGTTTAATAGAATAAGGTGTTTTTGCATTGAGGGAGTACTTGAGTCGAGGCCCAATGTCCACCAAGATTAGAACTATTAAAAGAAACAAATATCCTCTTCTGTCTCTCTCAAGGCAGCTAGTGGGTTTGAACCACCAGAGTCCCACACACGTGACAAAGGAGAAATAAAGTCGTAGATGCAATTAAGGTTTTTAATCTGCCAACGTAAAATAAAAAATTAACCCGAATTATCCAGATGAGCTCAATATATTCACGAGGGTCTTTAAACGTGGAAGAGGAATGCTGAAGAGTCAGTGTCAGCGTACAAAATTGTGAGGAAAAACTCAAAGGGCCAGGGTGGCATGGAAAATAGAGAGGCCACCAGCTGAGGAATCTGAGAAGCCTCGCAAAGATCTAATCCAAACTCACTGCCATGGAGTCTACAGATGCACAGAGACCCTATAAGACAGAGTAGAACTGCCCCTGTGAGATTCAGAGACTGTGAATCTTTATGGGAGTAGAAAGCAAACTAGAAACAGCAGTTAACTAGATTCTTGTCTAGAACCTCAAGAAAGAAACATAGTTCTGATGAAACCTGGACTTAGTTCAGTAAGATCCATCTCAAATTTCTGAACTCCAGAACTATAAAATAACAAATTTGCATGAAACCGCTAAATTTGTGGTAATTTAGTGCAGCAGCAACAAGAAACTAACACATGGTTTCTTTCCCAGCTCCAAAATAGAGAGGACACATCAGATTATAATTCCACACCATTTTCTTCCCATTTAGTAATGTACTTTCTAACATTTATTCTTCATAACAATAACAGCAACAACAAAACACTCACTCTACAATGTACTCTCAGGTCTAAAATTTTCAAATGGAATGAAATGCTTAGCCCTTGAGTTTAACCCTCCTCAATGTTACAAAGTCTGTAAGAAGGCATTCAGGCAGCCAACAGCATAGGTAGAAATCCTCAAGATCAGAGATGCAAACTAAAACAACAATGAGCTACCATGTCACCCCAGCATTAATGGCAAAGTTCAGAAGAAAAAACAATGAAACAGCAGACAAATGCCCATGAGCTGGGGAACCTACGTAACCGTGGAACACCACAGATAGCATGTAAAATGGCACCACCATTGTTGACAGTGATATGGTGCTACCTTAAAAAGTGGAAAACAGGAAGTCTGAATAGCGGACCAGGGCGTTTCAGGCCCACTGCCTGCCACTGCCATGCCCACAGCCACTGGGAAGGGGAGGTGTGGACCGGGGCCTTGCAGTCCCACCCAGCAAGCGCCCAGCCCCCGGGGCCTTACATATGTGCTGCCAGGGTCTATTGCAGCTCGGGGATCTTTGCTGCGTGGTCCACTCCCAGCCCACTCAGCAAATGGAACAGTGGAGAATACATCCCTGGCCCAGAGGGCATCCTTCCCTCAAATCTAGCCTAGATCCAGAATACAGGGGACCAGCAACCGGGTTCTGGGAGCTCCCCCAGTTTACACTGGTCACATCACTTTAGAACCAAACAGCTCCACCACCTGCCCATTGGTCCCCTACAGCCCTACCACTGTACTAGGGCTATCCACCAGTCAAATTGAGTTCCCCACAGCTGTCCCCACCAGTGCTCACCAACTCTCATCTCTGTTGATCACTAAGTCACCGAGGCACCTGCCTATACAGCAGCCTGACACACCTCCATAGTAGGCCACAGGCAGCCCTTAAAACACCGTTGCCAGTCACACAGTGAATGAATGCAGGGCCTCTTGATCTCCCAGAAATATGGCACCCAGCTCTTCGAATTCATCATGTAAAAGACAGCATACCACATCACTCCCAACAAGAAAACAGGAAAGACAAACCACAACAGCAGAGCTAACAACGCTCATAGAAGACTCTGACGTGGATCTGCCACAAAAAGAAATTTTCAGAAGGCTGCTTGGAGTGAAACAGGAAATGAGGGAAGCTACACAGACTAAGGATACAATGATAGAGGGGATGAAGTACACGATAGAGGGAATGAAGTGTACCAAAGGGAAACACAGGAGCTAACAGACGAAGTAGCAGAAGCTGCACACAAGATCACAGATCTCACAGATTAGAGGAGGCTGAGAAATGTATCAGTGATCTCGAAGACAATCAGGCAGACCTCAGGAAACAAGAGAGACAATCAAACAAGATAATAAAAGAGATGGAAGAAAGCCTGAGATCAATGACCAATGCTATGAACAACATCCGAATTATTGGCCTACCAGAACAAGACTCAGCAAAGACGTAAACAGCTAAACTAACAAGGGACTTTCTGGACGAAAACTTCCCCACCCTAATGAATGAGAACCAGTCACTCATACAGGAAGCAGAGAGGACACCAAGTAAACCTCAGGAAGAGCTCACCAAGGCATATAATAGTTAAACTATCCAACTTCGAGGAAAAAAGAAAATCCTAAGAGCAGCAAGAGAGAGGAAGACAGTCACATACAATGGCTCTCACGTAAAAATATGCTCAGACTTATCAAGAGAAACCACGAAGAGGAGAGAGTGGACTAACATCTTCCAAAAGCTGAAAGAAAATGAAGCCTCCCCTAGAATCCTTTACCTTGCCAAATTATCTATTAAGATAGAAGGAGAGATAAGGGTCTTTCAGGACAAGGGAAAACTTTAAAAGTACACTGCAAAACACCCAACCCTGAGGACGATCCTTGCCGACTCACTACGGCCAGAAGACCAACATCCACCAAGCACAAACAGGAGAACACCATATAGCCCAACTCCAACCAGAAGCCAACGAGCCAATACCAATCGCTAAGATAACATGGCCACAGAATGAAAAGAAGGCAATAAAGACACCACAGCACAGTGATAAGAAGGGGGATAGGAGAACATGCAAATCAAAAGGCACAAGATGTCAGCAATGAATCCACAGATCGTGATAATAACTCTAAATGTTAACAGCCTTAATTCCTACACTAAAATAAAAAGGCTTGCAGACTGGCTTGGAAAACAGAGCCCATCAATCTGTTGCCTGCAGGAAACACATCTTAAACTCACAGACAAAAATAAACTAAGAGTAAAAGGCTGGCGGAAGATATGCCAGGCAAACGGAAACTCAAAAAAAGCAGGCATCGCAATCCTAATCTCAGACAAAACTGATCTCAAGGTTCAAACCATAAAAAGAGATAAGGAGGGGCACTTTATAATGCTTACAGGATCAATTTACCAGGAACCAGCAAGCATAATAAATATATATGCCCCAAATGAGAGACCCGCTTAATCTGTCAAACAAACTATCAGAACATGAAAAAGATACCACAGATTCAAAAATTAGAGTAGGTGACTTTAATACACCGCTTTCAGAGAAAGATAGATCATTGGGAAGGAAGCTGGGCAAAGGGATTATGGAGCTGAACACTACAT